CCTTGCCACGTCCCTGGGCAGGAGGCAGTGCTCCAGCGTGACCTGGGCTTTGCTCTGCACGCAGGTTTACAGTGCGGACCCTGAAGTCCCTGCTCTGCCAAATGCAGCACGAGGATGTGGTGGTGGCGATGGAACGCAAGTGTGGCTGGGACACGCTGCTGTGTGCTGACACCCACCACTATGCCGGGGGTCTGCTGGCCAGGTGAGACCCCCTTCTCCCCGCTGCCTCTGACATTCGAGCCCTGTGCCCAGGGAGCTCCACACAGTCCCTGTGGCCATGAACCACAGGGCCTTGTCACTGAGGGACAGCCAAGCAGAGTGGGAAAGGCTGGGAGAGGAGGGTGTCCGTAAGGAGCCGCCTCCCAAACAGGCCAGGGCCCTTGCAGGATACTGGGGAAAGACCAGACCTCTGTGAGACAATCCTGGCAGAGGTCTATCCCCCAGGCCCACAGTCTAGGTTACTTTTTCTCCTGCCAGGGAGATGTCCGGTGTCTCCATCTCCTTGTGTTCCCGGATCACTCGCTACCTGCTCCGGCTGCTCAGCACACAGGAGCCATGCTGGGAGCTGCCCGCCCTGGCGTTCCTTGCGGAGGTGAGCCTGATGGCCAGTGCTGCCTTGCTGAGCTGCCTCCCAGCTTTCTGCCCTCTCGTAGCCGCAGCTGCCCACGCCCTGTGCTGCTGCCTGGGCCCAGCCCTGTGCGGTTCTGGGCTCCTGCCGGCCGGGTCTCCTGACACTGCCCTGTGCTTTCAGGCCCTTGAGTTCCTGGACTTGAGTGAACACAGTGCTAACAGAGTCCTGCAAATCTTGTCAAGGCAGCTGCAGAGCAAGTGCAGGGAGAGGCATCACCTGGCACTTAGGGCCCTTCTCGAGCTCACTGATGATCCCTCCATGGTGAGAATGGGGCAGCGACTGAGGCTGTGCTGGGGAATGCAGTCACTTGGGTTTGGCTGGGCTCTGGGCACTGGGGCAGCTGCTCCCAGCTCTCTTGCCTCCTGGGTCAGCTGCACGAGTGCTTTGGGACAGGCCTTTAGCCTCTGGGCCCTGTGGCAGCAGGATGGATGGCATTTCACAAATTTGTGTTCCACACAGAGCGAAAAAATGTGGAGCCTGACTGAAAGTCTTGCGGAGCTCCTGTGGGACGCAGATGGAGAGATAGTTAGCATGACAGTCATGTTACTCAGCTTTATCATCTTGGAAAATGACATGCTGATACCCAGCCCCATGGCACTGCAGCTGGTTGAGGCGCTCCTGCCACTCTTTGACCACGTAAGGCTTGCTGCCCCCAGCCACGGCCACTGGGTGCTGCGTGGACACTTTGTGCCCTTTGGATTTACAGGTCTGTGCCAAGCTGAGCTCTGTGCAGCCAATGCTGAGGTCTTTTTTTCTTCCTTTCATACAGGACTATAGCCAGGTGCAACTGCTCTCTATACTGCTCTTCCGAACATTGGTGACTATTCCACAGGGAAAGGAAAAAAAAGTCCTGAAGACACACCTGCGCCGGAGCTTGCTGCCACTGTTCTTCCACTGCCACAATGAGGATCAGCATGTGGCAGAGGTGAGGATTCATGGGCTGCTGCTGTCCCCCTGGGAGAGAGCTCGGCTGCCTCCTGTCCTGGCGCCTGCCAGGCTGCAACCTCGTTTGGGGCTTGGCACAGGGACGCTGGTCCTATGCCCTGGGTTGTGGGGCCATCTCCGCGTCTCTGCTGCTCTCCAGGCCTCTCACGAAACGCTGCTTTGTGCGTTGGAGATCCTGAAGAGAAGTGATCTTGAAAAACTGGTGAAGGACAAGGAGCTGTGGAGGTTCACTGAGTGCCTGGTAAGGATGGGCTGGAACCCCCAGCCTCAGCCTGGAGAAGCCCCCTGATGAGCGTGGTGCTCAGTGTGCGGCGCTGGCAGCTGTGCCCCTGCCCGCTGCTGCACCCCGAGCACCTGAGGTGGAAGAGGGAAGACCTCCAGTTCATCTGCAACAGTGAGTGAGGGCAGCGGGCTGGCAGCGGGGGCTGGCGGGGGCCCCTGCGCGCCCTGCCCCGCCTGCCGAGGGCTCTGCTCCCTGTGCGGACGAGGGGCAGCGTGGGCAGAGCACACAGACATTTCAGGGCCATTGGGGTATTCATGGCCAGCAGCTTCGGGCTGATCCTGTTGCTCCCTCCTGGCCATGGCTAGAGTGGGCTAGGATAGCCCTGGCAGGGGGCTCTCCTCCGGTCCGTGCAGATCCGGGATCTGACCGTGGTTTTGTTCCTCTCTCTTTCAGCCCTTGAAAGTATGGGAAATGACATCAGCATCACCGTTGGAAACCTGGCAATTCAAACACTGTATGTCCTCCAGGCAGTAGAGAGAGGTCGATATTCCATCTTCGACAACCTGCATAATCAGCTCCGCAGGGCATGGAGAACACGGCCTCATCTGTCTGGGCTCAGTTGGCTGCGCTGCTGGAGCTCTGCAGAGAGCTGATCCCAGAGGCTTTGTCCACCTGAGCCAGCGGGAATTTTTGATTTTTTTAACATTGTTCTTTCATACTTTTAGTTCTGTTTTAGCACATAAATATAGGATGTGTTGCAATAGACAGACTCCCCGGAGCTCTCTTTTGCTGCCCAGGGTCTGCAGGTCATACGGGAAGAGGGGGCAGAGGGTGCTTCGACTCAGCAAGCTGCCCAGGCAGTGTAGCAGGGAAAATAGCCAGAAGCCCCTTAGCCTTTGGTGATTCTGCTGAAGCCTTTGTGCTGCCAACAGAGCAGGTGGGCAGGGCCGGAGCTGCAGGGATCCCTGCGAGACTGGTGCCTGGAGATGGCCACAAGCCCTGTCCCAGGCAGGAACCGCCATCCGTGTCCTCCTGCCCGTGTGTTGCTGGCTGCATTGCTGAGGGCTCCCAGGTGCCTCTGGATGGGGCTCCTCTGGATCTCCTGTGGGGCTGCAGCGCTGCTGCCGGGCAGCTTGGCCGGGCTGGGGGAGACCCTGAGGGGACAGGGCCACAAAGGGATGAGGAGCTGCGGAAGCCCTGACAGGACAAGGCAGCGGGAAGGCACAAGGCGGGTGGGTGAGGGACTGGGTGGCTCTAACGTTGGCCCAGGGGTGGGAGTGGGTTGGAGACAAAGAGACCACTCACCCTGATTTGCATGTGGCAAACAGAGAGTGTTTATTCTCAAGCCCTTCTTCATGAAGGGCCTTTGAAAAACCAAGTCTGGAAAATGTCATTGGTCTGATCTCTACACCCCTTCAGATTCTGGCCAGGCAAATGCTGCAGCCTTGGGAGAGATGTGACTGGGCGAGGCCCTGTCAGTCACACCAGGGGCTGGTACAGTCACACAGTACAAGCCAGCCTGCGCTGTGACACACAGCAACAGAGTACAAGGCACAGCTCCGGGTGCTCCCCATGAACCTCAGCTCTGGGAGCACTGTCTGCCCCAAGCTACAGGGGCTGCAGTGGGAGCCCGGCTGGGCTCTGCCCTGGGGCCATCCTGCAGGGACATAAGTGTCAGGATGTGTCCCTAACCTTGAGGCCTAGCCTTCCTCATGGAGAGGGGCATCAAGGAAGGCACCAGTGTGATGGTGACTGCAACGGGTAGGAAACTCAGTGGGAGAAAAGAAGGAGCAGCTGGGAAGTAAAAGGCAGGTGGGGGAGAGAGCTGTTCAGAAAAGAGCTGAGCTACAGCTTGAGCAAGCTGAAAAATGTCATTTGGGGTCATCCCAAATTAATTTAATGTCAGAAGCTATTGAAAAAGCTTCATTCTGGGAGATGTCATGTTTTCCCTTGCAGGTGTCCACGCTGCAAACTTGAGCTGTGTTGCCGAAATGCTCAAGCAAGTCAATATCCTCAGCCTGCGCCAAAGGGCACGGCCCATCCACGCCACAGCTGGTCCCAAGCACTTCCCGATCCAGACTGGACCCCACCTGGAATGCTTCCTCTAGAAAAACAAACAAAAAATTATTGAAAATAGATTACAGACAAAAAGGGGAAACAAGACAAAAGGTAAAAAATCTTATCTGTATCAGGGGCTTGAGGAAGGCCCAACCCCTACATGCTAGGGAAAAACCCACCCACGGTTGAGGGAAGCCCAGGCTTTCTCCCTTCCCCCTGCACTGCTCCCCACAATAACGGTGATCCCAAAGCAAACAAGGGCAGTGGAGCAGCCCAAGCCCTTCCTTGCCTGCACAGCAAAGCAGCCCTGCACAGGTTCTGGCGTCCCATCTCTGCTCCCACCACGGGGGTTTGTGTTGGGCTGGCTGCCCCAGCCCCAGCCCCAGCCCCAGCCCCAGCCCGGGGCTCCCATTTCATACCCACCCCAGCCCATGCCCCCAGCCCTGCCAAAAGCAGCTGGGCAGCCAACTGAGGGATCAGCTGCATCCACCCCAGCAGAGGGGGGAACCTTTGGTTCCTGGCCTGGCTGTGCAATGCCCAAAACTGGGAGCATCCCACTGCGTGTGGACTCGTCTGTAAATTTGCTGTGGAGCCAGGTGCCGCACTGCTGTCCCAAATCCTTCTCTACTCCCCCGGGCAGGGGAGGAGATCGCACCGGCCAAGCTGAGACACAGCAGCTGACAGCGTGGGGGCACTTCCCAGATGCGCCTGGGGCGTCCGGGGAGCGCCTCGGCAGGAGGCAGCGATGGGCAGCAGGTAGACGAAGCAGAAGTAAAGAAAAGAGGGACTCTTCTCGGGGGCACAGTCCAGAGGCTCTATTTGCCTCCAGGGAATCCAACCGGGAAGAGACCAAGAGGAAGGCGGTACAACACAATATAAAGGGGGTGGAACACTCGGGTGGGGCGAATACAATGACCAATGGGAGAAACTCTGGGAAGGAACAAACTTGTGATGGACACATTGTTGGGTGAATAGGGATGGCAGAGAGGAGGGGCCCTTGTTCCTGATCCAATCACCCACTGGCAAGGGAAGAATTTTCTGGAAGGAAAGGAGAGGCCAGTAAGTGATGGACAGGAATTCGGGGAGGGATTGACAGGGGATATCCGGGGTAACAGGGGAGAAGACAAAAGATTGATATGACTCTTATGCTGGGGAGGGGCAGACCAGAGGGAGAAGGGGGATTCCAGACTGAACCATAGCAGACAGTGGGGGTAATGGGTTAAACCAACTTCAAATAAGAAAAGAACACCACAACAGCCAGGCTTTGAAGAAGGTGCCAGAATTGAAGTCCATCATATTCAACTTGCCAGTGGCCAGGTCCAGGGAGAGGCTGCCATCCTTGATGGTGTCCTCGCTGTCTCCAACAGTAGCAGCCCCACCTGGTACAGCTTCTCCAGGGGCTCCTTCTCCTTCCCTGGGCTGAGACCAGGCTGTCAGGTTTCTGCCCAGGGCTCCAGCTGTCAGGGAACCAGGACAAGCAAAACCAGCTCAGATGGTGGCCACCAGTGCTGGGCAGAGCAGCTCAGCTCCAGCACAAGGGCTGTGTGCTCCCATCTGATGAGCCCTGGGCAGTGACCCAGTCAGGACAAAAAAGTCTGGGTTCCTTAGCTTCTGATGGCCAAGGCATGTGTGGAGCTGTAACTTACCGGGCCCTGGATCAAAGTGTGCCTGTGGCTCTCTCCCTTCTTCTAGGCTAGATGAATATCCTGCATCCAAGGATGACAGAACACCTCTTCTAATGAGGGCCTTTCAAAGTCCTGCATGGATAAACAGCACCTGATCAGATCTTGGCACTCTGGGCAGAGAAACCAAAAACCGCCGGTCAGTTGGAGAAGGCTCCCTGTTGGCTTTGCCCCACTATTGCCTGCCCAGGCCATGCTGGATGTGCTCAGAGCTGGGCCTAAACCTTCCCACCAATTCCCTGTTTTGGAGGAGAGCAGGAGAGCAAAACATGTGCCACCTCCTCAGCAGCTGCCAGAGCGGGATGCTCCCGAGCCCGCTGCTGTCTCCCTGCACTGGTATTCCCCCCATGCCCAGAGATGAGGATCCACCTGGAGAGAGCCATTGTGGCAGCGAGAGCTGATGATCCCAGCTGATGTTCTGGCCCCTCCTGAAAGGGTGCTCCCCACAGACCATCTGGTGCAGCACAATGCCCAGGGACCAGATGGTAGCTGGCTTGTCATAGTACCAGCCAAAGTGAGTCCCTTCCAGGGGGCTGTATGATGGTGTTCCTATGGAATACAGATGGAGTTCATCAGGGGGATGCTGCTGCTCCCAGAGCCTGGCCCCAGCATCCCTGGGTGTGTGGGGGCTGCCCCAGTGGCACACAGGGTGACCCGCTGCCCTCTCGCCAGCACCTGGGACTTGTGTACAGACTTGGGGTTGGAAAAGAAGCCACTGCTGTTGGAAGAGGGCAGCAGAAGCCCTGGCAAGGCTTAACCATGACAGAATCACACTTAGTGCTAAGGGAAAACCATGCCTTCATCCTCCCTGCCTGCATTGCCGCAAAAAACATTATGAACCCAGAACAAGCCAGGTGAGTGAAGCAGCCCAAGCCCTTTCTCACCTGCACACCAAACTGGCTGGGGCACAGGTTCTTGCCCCCCCTCTCTGCTACCCTCACCCACGGGTGTTTTTGTTGGGCTGGCTGCTCCAGCCCCAGTCCTGGGCAGAGTGGTGGGCCAAGGCTGACAGCAGGGCTGGAAGCTGGGTCCCAACCCAGCACTGCTCAAAAGAAACTCAGCTGAAAGCTCATTGCCATGAAGGGCAGCAAAAGGGAGAATCCCCGCAGCCACACCCAGCTTGAGCTGTGAGATCTTGGGCTATGGGATGCCAGAACTTGGAGCACACCCCTGCATTGGCTCACCTGCAAAGTGAATGTAGGCTGTGTCTTGCAGATAGGTGCCACAGCCAAAGCCAATCAATTTGGCCTGCCCGGTGGCCAGGTCAACCAGGATGTTCCCTGGTTTGATATCCCTGTGCAGGACCCCGCAGCTGGTGCAGTGCCGCACGGCCTCCAGCACCTGGCGGAACAGCGGCCGCGCCACCTCCTCGGACAGGAACCCCCGTGCCCGAATGAAATACAGGAGGTCCTGAGAGTGCTTTGGGCACTCCAGCACCATCAAGATGTTGTTGATGGGGAGTTCAACCTACTCCAGCAGCTGGATGACACTGGGGAAGCCATTGGACACCTTGTCCAGCAGCACGATCTCCAGGGGTGCGCTGGTGCCGTCGGGCTGCGGGAGAAGCACAATGCCGTCAGTGGGGCTGATGCCCTGCCGGGGGTCGGGAAACCCTCAGCCAGCCCGGGATGCTCTGCGCCCTGCACTGGCCCCACACCTGCTCTCCCTCGAGGCGTCCTGGCAGCTCCCAACCTGCCGGGCCTGGACTCATCGCTGCCTGGCACGGCCCGGCTCCTCCCTCTGGCCCCGCTCACTCACCAGCTGGCCCCAGTGCTGGACGTGGTTCCTTGGCACCCTTTTGATGGCCACCTGCAAATCAAGGGCAGCAGTGGGCTCAGCTCACCGCCCGACCTGCCCGGCCCCATCCTTCACCCTCCTCCTCCTCCATCACCCCCTCCTCCTGCGCCCACCACTGGCCCCGCCACTCACTGAGGCGCCATCCGAGAGCCACGTTGCTGTAAGAACTCTGCCAAAGCCGCCGGCCCGGCATGGGGAGAGAGAGCCTGGGAGAGGAGGGGACACCGGGAAAGGGAGAGCAAGAGAGGTACAGGACGGCGGGAGAGGGAGAGGAGAAGGGAGTCAATAAAAGTTCCTCCTTTCGCTGCTGCTGCCACTGCTGCTGCTGCTGCAACTGAAGCTCCGGGGCCGTTTGTCTCCGTGTCCGTTTGTCCGTTGCCCGCTCCCTCCCACCCCGAGCCCCACATTCCCCGAGGGCAGCCCCTGAGCCTGTCCAAACACGGGAACTTTGCCGAGTTCAGCCAAGACCCACAGTCTGGACTCCTGCGCAGTGGCTCAGGAGTACCTTGGCTGCTGCTGTGCATTGTCCCTGCTGAGGGTCAAACACTATCAGAGCGCATTCCCTGAATGCACAATTTGTACCTGACACAAACACTGCACTTACCTCTCCAGCATTGCTTTCAAGGAAAGCCAGGGGAAGGCAAACTGTGTGTAGCTCATGGTATCTTACTATGTCTAAAACTGGCCAAGTAATGGATCTTAGATGTAAAATCTATTTGGAATTAATGGGAAGGAGAAGTAGTGCAAGATGGATAAGGGGAGCATAAAAATAAATCTAGAAAAACGTCTTGAATTGTTTCAATTTTAATTTAATTTCTTAAAAGCTCTTTCAGTTTTTCCAGAATCTTCTCCTCAGTCCTGTTTGTTTGTTCCAAGAACCTTTCCTGGAGAATGAGGTGCAGCTTCTGTCACAAGATGTGCCACCAACTGCAGCTTCTCTTGGCTTTCCACACTGTGTGTGCAGCACGACTCTTGCAGCAAAGCAGGACAAATATTTGAAGAATTTGACAGCTTGTTCTTTTCTTTTCCTTGTGGGCTGGGAAGTTGTGCCATTGGTAAGGTTTTCATTGGTAAGGTTACTGTTCTACCCTAAGAAAACACAATGGGCTACCAGGAACTGTTAGGGAATGCAAGCCTGACTGAGTTCAGAGGAAGAATCTGCAGAGCCTGCAGCCAGAAGTGGAGAGCTGTGTGATAATCATCCCAACACCCCCATGGACATCTTGAAAGTGATGTAGAAGATGAAAATGGGCTCACAGAAGGGAGTTTGTTTCTGTGTTCAGTTCAGATTCTGCTACACCTGACATCAAGACTACAATCTACATCTAAATCAAGAGTACAATCAGTTCATGAAAAGCACCAGAACAAACTGGATCTCTCAGGAGATGATCAAAAGAATGTGAAAAGGAGAAATGCATTTCTCAGCACTGCAGTATTTGCCTACATGAAACCCTCCTCCATTTCCCCCCCATGCCTGGATCTGGTGATGACAGTTCTGTATTCACTGTTGCCTCCAGCCCTGAATTCCCTCATCTACAGCCTGAGGAACCAGGAGCTCAAGGCTGCAGTGTGGAGACTGATGACTGGACATCTTAGGAAGCATTAAACTGATTGCCAATTTCTGCAAATCACTTGTAATAAAAGTAATCTTTGATAGTTCTGTTGGTTTGGTTCTTTGATTTCCCTGTCTTTTCTTTTTAAATATTCTTCCTAAAGCTAGGCCATTGTTTCTGCCATTTCTGACTTTGTTTCTCTCCACCTTTGCTGTGGCCCCAGATTGTGAAAATGAGGAGCTGCGGTCTCAGTGGCAGTAAATGAACTAAAGGATCTCCCAGCAGAGTTTTTTGCAGAGATCCCTCTTTAGTTGCCTTCTCTGGAGCTGCAGTAGCAGCAATGTCTGTGTGCAGAGCTGGGGCAGATCAGTGCTGGTACAGCAGCTGTGCCCAGCAGCAGCAGCAGCACTTGGTGTTGACAGTGCTGCTGCCGTGGCCCTGCCCCGCTGCCCTGGTGGCCCTGGTGTTGCTGCAGGGCCTGAGTGCTCTCGGGGCCGGGCACAGTCCTGGGGGTGGCAGTGCCGGGGCTGCAGCAGGGACAGGCCATGGGCACTGCTGGGCAGCGCTGACGCCTCAGGCCAGGCCCTGGGGGCTCCAGGCTCCTTGACCAGGCTCTCTCAAGAACACGGCCAGGCCAATGCTCAGCACAGAAAAGCCCCAGGGTGAGCAGCCCCAGGCTGGCCGTGGGCAGGCTGGGGGCAAACAGCATGGCTGGGGCTCTGCAAGGGCCCTGGGGGAGACGGGAAGGAGCAGCAGAGCAGGGGCTGATCCATCCCCAGTGCGCTGCACAGCCCAGGGCAGCGTCCCAGAGCATCCTCATGGAGCTGCCAACAACATCCCCCCTCTGCAGCCCTGGCCTCTCCCCCAGCTCACAGAGGTGCCGCATCCTTGCAGGCACAGCCACGGCAGCACTGGCTCAGGAGCCCCTGTTTGCATTGCACAGAGCAGGCGGGAGCACCCCCATGCTGCTGCTGTGGGGACATGAACCTGAGGGAGCACAAATGCCATCAGCCCCTGGGGCCAGCAAGGGCTGGGGGACACCAGGGAAACCACTCAGGTTTGTCATGGCCTCTGCAGTCAGACAGAAAGTTTCTTCTCATGAGGTGGGAGTTTCCTGTCCCAGTGCAGACACTGTTGCTCAGAGCCAGGGCTGCCTGGCAGCCACCCCCAATTGGCCACAAGCATTTCCTTTGTTTCACTTTTGCTTTCTTTACCCATCCCTGATCCAGATTTCTTCCTATTGCACATTCCTGTCCCTCTGTCTCTCCCCAGCAAAAAGCCCATCCCTGTTTGCCCTTTCCTCTCTGGCCCCACTCCCCATTGCAGTTCCTGACTTGGCACCATGGGAACGTCCCTTGCACAGCAGGATCATCCTCCAAGTGCTGCAGGAATTGTCTGCAGGCTCCTGCAGTGCCTGGTGCTGCTCCCTTGCCAGAGGCACCCCAGGCCAGGGGGGCACATCTGGGCTGCTGTGTCTGCCTGTGGGGCTCCCTGTTCTGGGCAATGAGGAGGAGCTGCAGAGGCTCTGCAGGACTGACAGGATGGGCTTTGGGGCTGGCAGGAGAAGCTGAGGCACCTGGGCTGCTGGAGCTTCTGAAGAGGAGGCCCAGGGCTCATCCTGCAACTGCTCCAAGGGTGGTTTCAGAGAATCACAGAATCAGCAAGGCTGGAACAGTCCTCAGAGATCATCAAGTCCAACATATGCCCTGACACTTCGTTGTCTCCCTGAGCCTCCTCTTCTCCAGGATAAGCAACCCCACAATTCCACAGCCACTCCTCCTAATGCTTCTATGCCAGATCCCAATCCAGTACCTACTCTCCCAATAATTAACCCAGTTCCTCCCTCAACCTCTCCCTCTGCCCCAACCCCTTTGTCAGGCACCTCAGCAGAAAATTTAGTCCCTCCTGCAACCTATCCCTCATCCTCAACCGCTCTTTTAACTTCACCTCCTTCCAACATTCCTAACCCTAAACCTGAGCCTTCGCCTATCCCTATAGTTACTCTTTCATCCTCACCCAGTCGTGATACATGTACGCCACCCTCTGTACACCCTCCATTATTATCTCCAAATATAGCTCCTGATGTTAATACTATGAATTTACCTCCCTCTCCCTCACCCACATCTATTCCTTTACCACCCACCAATTGGAACCTGAGTTCATCCCCTTTATCGGTAACAAACAGGACTCGGTTTTTCAGGTGACCACCCAAACTGACAATGGTATTGATGGCCCTTGGTGTAACACTGGGTCAAAGACATCAAAGCCTGAAAAAATGATGCCTCTCAGGGAAGTCCCAATGGGTGGGATGATAGGAGGGGTAGGATTTGTAAATGCATCACTCACAGCTTCGGAGGTCCAATGTTTCAAGAAAGAGTTAGGAAATTTAGTAGAAGACCCAGTGGGCATTTCAAACCAAGTGGACCAGTTCCTTGGACCCAATATTTACACCTGGGGAGAACTGAATTTTATACTTAATATCTTGTTTTGTCCTGAGGAGGTCAGGATGATCAGAGCAGCGGGAATAAGGATTTGGGAGAGGGAGAATAGAGTTGGACCTCCTGGAGACCTTAAGATGTCTTTAGTAGATCCAGGATGGGATCCAAATCGAGAGGAGAGCACGAGGAATATGAGAGATTACCGGTCTCTGATAATTAAAGGTATAAAAGAATCTGTCCCTCGTAGTAGCAACACCAAATTGGCTTTTGAGGGTACCCAAGAGAAGGATGAGACTCCAGCAAGCTGGCTTAATAGACTGAGGAGGAATTTTCAGCTATACTCTAATATAGATCCCGATAGTCCAGAAGGACAAGTACTTTTAAAAGTGCAGTTCATTACCAAATCTTGGCCTGACATTAGGAGAAAGTTGGAAAAAATTGAGGATTGGCAAGACAAATGTATAAATGACTTGCTAAAAGAGGTTCTGAAGGTTTACTTAGGGAGGGAAGAGGAAAAGGCCAAGGCAAAAGCTAAAATAATGGTAGCCGTGGCTCAGGAAAGGGTTGGGGCGGATAGCAATCCACCGGTATGGTCCCCGGGAATAGACCAAAACAAGCCAATTCCGTTGGTAGGACAATATTGGGAAAAGCCGGAATTTGGAAAGGATGGAGAAAGACCAAGGAAGATAGAAGGAGTACCCAGTGATAGGACCTGCTATTATTGTGGGGAGGTTGGACACTTTAGGACATATTTGAAGAAATTGCGACTAGATGAAGAAATTGCGCAAGAACAGGAAGCATTGGAATGGGTCTTGAGGGGTGATGACTCGGGGTGTCAGGGGCTTTATCTATTAGGGGATCCAATGAGACACCAAGAAGAGCCCCTGGTAAATTTTAATGTGGGTCCCCAAGATGAAGACTTTGAACTCCTTGTGGATACAGGAGCTGATAGATCAAGTATTAATAAGCTGCCAGTGGGGATGACTCCTGGAAATAAGATCTGTGAAATATTAGGAGCAGAAGGGAAACCGTTTTTAGCACCAATTGTTGAAAATGTAGAAATAAAAGGAAATTCGAGACAATATATAGTGGATATTATCTATTTACCAAGACTAGAAACCAATTTGTTAGGAAGAGATTTACAAGTCCTGTTGGGAGTGGGGATTGTACCAGAGAACGGAAAGATGGTTGTTAGACTCATGAGGTTAACTGAAAGGGACTTAGAGGACATTCACCCCGAGGTGTGGGCTGAAGAGGGAAAAAAAAATATGGATATTTAGCAATATGTAGATGATCTATTAATCTCTGGGGAACAGGAAAGCGAAGTCAGAACTGCCAGTATACAACTATTAAATTTTCTAGGGGAAAAGGGGCTGAAGGTATCGCGAGATAAGTTGCAATTTGTAGAATCTGAAGTCACCTATTTGGGACACGTGATTGGAAGGGGGTATAAGAAATTAAGTTCTGAAAGAATTACAGGAATTATTTCTATCTCAGCTCCAAAAACTAAGAGGGATGTGAAAAAACTCCTGGGATTATTCGGGTATTGTAAATTGTGGATAGATAATTACACGCAGAGAGTAAAATTCTTGTATAATAAATTGGTAGATCAGTGTAGGGGTGCATCAGTTTTAAGTTGGTTTATTCCTGTACCCCCCCAACGCTCCGTCCGGAGCCGCCGGGGGGGGGAGCTGAGGGCCGGAACCCGGAGCCGCCAGTCCTCTCGGCGGCCCCGGTCATTTACCATCCCGGGGGGGAGGGGAGGACCCAGCCCCATTGGGCCCCGTTCCCACAGCATTCGATAAAAGAGTTGTGCAAAGCCCAAAAAGATTTCTCCCGGGAGAGTGAATATTTCCGGGGAATTCTCTTACCTTACGGTCCCTTGCTACCCCCTTGACATCATATGTAAAGATCGTACAAGAACCTAATGAGTCCTTTTTAAGCTTTGTTGAGCGCCTTCGCAATCAAAGACCCCGAGACCTGGAGGACGGAAGGACCCTTTGACCTTGTCACCTGGGGGAGGGGATACGCTTGCGTTTCCACTCCCTCGGGTCCAAAATGGGTCCCTTCAAAATGGGTCAAGCCATACACTGCCTCCAGTCAAGTTCCAACTAAAAAAGTGGCACAGGTTGAAGAAGCCTGTTGGAGGAGAAAAAAGAGGCCTTTTGAAGGAGGGGGCAGGCATCCCCCCTCGCCTTCTAGGAGGCCCGTGTACATTTGGACGGCTGACGCTGTTTGCTCCCAACAATTCCCAAATTAAAGATTGGAAAAAGAAGATTGTCGCACACAATTCGGTCCGCGTAGCAAGAGATCTTAAAGATTTAAATGAACAGTGCGACTCCCAAATTGTTCATTGGTCAAAGCCAGAAGGTATCGCATGGACAGTGTTTCTCCCGTGGGTGTCTATTGTGAAGTCTCTAGGTGAATTCGCTCAGGAAGTCTCTCTGCGGGAGAGTGCCCTTCCCCCTTCAGTACTGCCGGCGGCACTGGCCGCAGCAGCCGGGAATCCAGAGGCCAGTCACTGCCGCTGCAGATCAGGAACCAATCAAATGGACAATAGATGATGACCGGCAATTACAAGACCTAAAGAATAAATTATCTTCAGCCCCCGTACTAAGTTTGCCCAATTTTAGTAAGGAATTAGATCTCTTTGTAAGTGCAGAAGAAGGAATCGCCTATGGGGTACTTACCCAAGAATGAGGAGGATCACGAAAACCTGTAGCATTTCTGTCCAAATTACTAGATCCTGTAGCCCGGGGGTGGCCCACTTGCCTGCAAGCGATTGCAGCGGCAGCAGTTTTGATTGAAGAGGCCCAGAAATTAACATTACAGGGAAAAATTAAAGTGCACACACCGCATGATATTAGAACGGTTCTTAGCCAAAGGGCCCAACAGTGGCTCACGGATTCTAGGATTTTAAAATATGAGATCATCCTAATAGATACTAAGAATCTGGACATTGCTACCTCTAAGTGTCTTAATCCTGCCCAATTTCTTTTGGGAGAACCTGTGGACAATTTAGAGCGTGATTGCCTAGAGTTAATACACATGCAAACAAAGGTAAGAGAAGATCTTGGGGATGTACCCTTACGTTATGGGAGAGTCTTGTTCACAGATGGATCCTCTAGAGTAGTCTCTGGGAAAAGAGCTTCTGGGTATGGTATAATAGATGGTAAAGATATAGAAGTTGTAGAAAAGGGGAAGCTGTCTTCGAATTGGTCAGCTCAGTGCTGTGAAGTATTTGCATTAGAAAGGGGACTAGATCTGTTAGAAAATGATTGTGGCACTATATGTACAGACTCGCAATATGCATTTGGCATAGTACACACATTTGGCAAAATCTGGGAAGAGCAGGGATATTTAAATTCTAAAGGGAAAAATCTAGTACATACAGAACTAATAAAGTTAGTATTAAAATCTTTACAAAAGCCAACAAAATTGCAATAGTGCATATAAAAGGACACCAGAAAGGAGATAATTTTGAGATAAAAGGAAACAAACTTGCTGACTAAAAGGCTAACGAGGCAGCCTTAGAAATAGGAGAACCAATTAAGATCTTCAAACTAGAAAGGAAAGCCAGACAACAAGAAGACGAAGTAAGGCCAATCTTTAGTGAGAAGGAACGAAAGGCGATAGAGGAATTGAAGTTACACTAAGGGGAACGTGGTGAATGGTTAACCCAAGATGGGAGGAGGTTTCTAAACCAGGCATTAGCACAGAAGGTATTAACAGAAATACACGAGTTAACACATTGGGGAACCCAGGGACTATGCGACCATTTCTTAAGAGAAAACATATGCATTGGAGTGTATGAATTAGCTAGAGCAATAACCAAAGGGTCTGTCAAAAAGTTACTAAAAAAGTAATGAGAAGAATAGAACCTAGAGGAAGAGAATTGGCTATAAGACCATTCCAAAACATATAGATAGATTTCACTGAAATGCCCCTAGCACAGGGATATAAGCATCTATTGGTAATAGTAGACCACCTCACCCATTGGGTGGAAGCTTTCCCCGCCAAAAAGGAAACTGCAGAGGTGGTCGCAAAGATAATCCTGGAAGATATCATTCCCCGGTATGGTTTAGTAAACACGATTGATTCTGATAGAGGGCCCCACTTTGCTGCTCAGGCCTTACAGCGAATAATTGGAGCTTTGGGGATGAAATGGAGACTACATACTCCATGGCATCCCCAGAGCTCGGGCAGAGTTGAAAGGATGAACAAAACACTTAAAAATGTGTTGACTTAATATCTGAGACCAAATTAAATTGGCTAAAGTGCTTGCCCTTAGCCTTATTACGTATTAGAACAAGACCCCGAGCAGACATAGGGGTCTCCCCATATGAGATGATGTTTGGGCTTCCCTTCTTATTGTCCCCCTACAGTACTGGAAATTATCTAGATGGAGAAGAAGCTACACGGAAGTACTTAGGAGCTATTGGGAAAACGTTAGAAGCCCTCAGAAAAAAGGGATATATACCCCAAACCTCTTCTCACAATACAAATGTTCATGATATTCAACCCGGGGATTGGGTACTAATTAAATCATGGAACAATATGCCTCTAACGCCTAAGTTTGAAGGTCCCTTTCAGGTGTTGCTGACTACTCACATGGCGATACCGACTCAAGAAAAGGGTTGGACACATATTACTAGAGGCCAGTAACACCTCCCAGCGAAAGATCCAATTCCCTTGATCCGCCTACAGGACCAGTAGAAAGACCCTCATCTACCAGTTCGCGAGAATGGACTGTAATCCAGAATCCAACAGATCTAAAGATAACTCTTAAGAAAAAAACCGAGGACTGACAAAGACTGAAAGTGAAATCAGAGTTATGTCTATAAAAGTTCAGAAATTTGTTGTAATGTTATAAGTGTTCTAAGAGTTAAAAAGTTAAAATTATTCTCTCTGGAAATTTAATGAAAATCAAATTCTCCTACTGAGCTTTGCTAAAAAGGGGCAGTAAAAATTAGTAATTAGAGGGTGAAACAGCCAGTGTAAAAGGACTCTTATCAGACCCCTGAGAAGACCTTAGATCCAAGAGGCAAGACCGGAGGGAGCAAGCAGGGGAGGAATGGCCCCTACTGGACTCTTGGGGAAACTAGTGCTGGTACTAGTGATGAGTGCTGCTCTTAGCAGAGACGATGACCCTTGCACCAAATGTTATCATCCCATCTATGATGGGGAAGACCTGAGGTCCTTCTTTAGAGTCCATACCAACATAAACCCGAGCTGTTTTAATTACCTGTTGAGACCTATTGCCTAAGAAATCAGGAGCACACTTAGGAGTCCTGGTATATGATGACTTACAGAAGAATAATAGAAAAAAAAGAGATGTAATTGACATGGGAGGTACACAAGTATGGAGAAGTAAAGTATGGACTCCAGAAGAAATTATTCAAACATATGGGCCAGCCACATGGGCTCAGGATGGATCCTGGTGCTACCATACCCCCATCTATAATCTATATATTAAATAGGATAATCAGGCTCCAAGCAGTACTGGAAAAAGTTTCAAATCGAACAGCGCTAGCATTCGAACATATAAGTGACCAATTGTCCCAAACGAGAACAGTAATTTATCAAATTAGGTTGGCAGTAGACTACTTATTGGCAGATGAAGGAGGAATATGTGGAAAATTCAACTTGTCTGAGTGCTGCTTAGAGATTGACGATAAAAGTATAGTAATAAAAAACATTTCTAAGGAAATCCGCAAACTGGCCTATGCTGGAAATCAGGAATGGACACCTCTAATAAATAGTAACTGGTGGGATGAATTCTGGTCCTTTAAAGGGACATGGTGGGAAAAGGCTGCATTTATAACCGTCTGTTCAATAACCAGTTTGGTGTTTTTACCTTGTCTGTTCCCTTGTTTAGTTAGAATACTAACTTCCACAGTCCGAGCAAGTATTCAATGTCTTGAAGTAAGTAATCAAAAACAAACAAAAATAATGTTAATAGAAAGCCAGAAGCCAAACCACAAGATGGCAAACGAGATATATAATAAATATAAAAAACTTAGGAAATTTTATTTCCAAGAGCAAGAAACAGCAAATTGATGTGGGCATCAACCCTATCAAAGGAATAGAGGGGGGAGTTGTGATGGACAAGTTTATAAGTTAATGCTATTGAAATTGTTACTGTTAATGTGAAGTTGCAATAAGTGAAGTGTGTTAATTATGTTGTTGTTAAAATGTAAAATCTTTAATGTTACTGTTGACCTGAAGTTGTAATAAGCAAAGTCATTGTTACGATGTTAAACCTGTTAGTTACCTCCACTGTCAATCCCCACATTTCACAGCTACCCTTGTTACCCCCATCAAGTGCTGCCTCCACTGCTCTCTAAAATGGCGCCGAGAAAACTACCCCGGGAAATATGCAAATGAAGGGGAATTCAAGGGAATCTGATTAAAGACCCTAAAACCAACAAACTAAAACAAAATTTAAGAAACCAAGTGAAGGGTTCCTGCAGTGGCCCAGTGCAGCTTGGGCTGATGATCCACCCTCACAGCTGGCCCAGGGCAGCTCTGCAGTGGTTTTGGTGGCACCTTGGGCTGGCACACACCTGAGGAGTGTGTCTGTTTTCAGTGGGGAAACTCACCAGTTTTAGATTACTTCAAAAAATACGAAAAGGGAAAACCACTCTTAGGCTGAGTGCAACCAGCTCTCCAAGCACAGCAGGTCCCAGGCGAGTGAGAACAGATAGGATGGGGCTGGGGAATGTGGAGTAAGGTTGTCCACACTGG